ACGTTTCTTAAATAACACCGAGTGGTTGAAATATCCGGTGCTCATAATTGTACCATGGTTCTGGCACCTGAAACCTTAGGAATCATTTAATGTGAAATGACTGTGAAAGTAATGACGCTATAGTTCGGTTTACCGCTCCCAGAGGGTGACACCATCCTGGCGACCAAGCAACTGTGAGAGGACCGCGCTGGATATAAAATACGCGTTGGCAAAGCTGTCAATGTGTGAGCGTGGCGCAATGAATAGCGTGCCCGCGGCAGCTGTTGTCGCCGACTAAGTGGTCGTGGGTTTGATTTCCGTTGATGGAACTTTGTTTCTTAGCCATCCAAACAGAATTTGATCGTGCGCATTTCAATCGACATCCTATCCGTGACGAGAATACGTCTGTGAATTCTCGGTGGGCCTTGGCATATAGAACACTTTCGTGTTAGAAATATACATTAGAAAGGTGAGCCAGACAGCACGAGCGTCTCTTTTGCGCATCAAAGAACACAGAATGGTCGAAATATTCGGGGCCTCAATATCATGTCGTGGTTTTGGCACGTAAAACCCCAGAAAAGATTGAATGCGAAATGTCTACGAAACTTTCGTTCGTTTTAGCACACATGGGGAAAAGTGACTCCAACCCGGTGTCGACAATTCAAAAATGACATGGAAGCATGAAGTACACGCATGAGAAAAAACACACACTTGCCTGATAATGTGAGGGCAATGTTTCCTTTAGAAACATGTACCTTTATATGTGTACACAAAACGACAAACTTTGATGACCGATACTATCCGACGCTATTGTTTAAAACGGCTAGGACTTCATATGAGGAGCACACACACACACACACACACACACACACACACACACACACACACACACACACACACACACACACACACACACACACACACACACACACACACACACACACACACACACACGTGCGCGCGCGCGAGAGAGAGAGAGAGAGAGAGAGAGAGAGAGAGGAATGTTAGTATTATTGGGAAGTAAGCTGCACTGGACATCGGAAATGAAATGTCCTTTTAGTTTTGACAATCGCGGTTCTTCAACAAAAAACAAAAAATCAGCACAGCGGCGACGTGTTGGTATTTTTAACTGTTTTACGAACAATATTGAGGGGACTGTTTTACGACCGATTTTAAGAGACAGACAAGCGAAAAGTACGCGTCATCTGCAAAATGCCATGCGTATCGACGTCGTCAGATTCACTGTGATCTCGTTTTTGAGAGAAACCTCGAGAGGGTGGATCGGAGCAACCACCACTTTGACACGCTAAACTCCTTACTGATAGCACTGATGACCCGTCCTACTTTATCTGTGAGCCCCGAAGATTGCACGGGCAGACGTATAGTGACAGTACGAGCAACGCTCAGCATGCATGGGAATGAAAACGTCAGCGACAACGAAATCTGAATGAGTCACTCGTAAGGATCAAAGACGGTTCTCAATCAACGTGCTACCGCTTTGCCTGCGTGAAGACGCGTGTTGCTTTTGGAGTGATTTAGAAGTTCAACAAACCAGCTCCGAAAAACACAATATCTCGTTTAGTAATTTATTCCTTTGACCATGGCGTCTAATACAATGTACATTAAGTTCTCCCCGCCACTTTAGACACAGTGACAGGGGTTTCGTTTTAATGGCTGAAAATACGCCACTGCATTTTAAACGGTGACAGAGGTTTTCGTGGACACGAACGGACGGCGTGCATTCCAGGATGCGTCCCATTTTCAACTGCGCTGTAGTATGAGTGCAGGTTGCACCCGCAACCTCGAGCTCATCAGCGCAGCTTGCAATGTTGCCCAACGTTTGAATTTTGTGTTTAGGAAATCACTACTTATAGAGGGTTGTACAACTATTCCTTTCACTCTTCAAATGTCACTGAGACAGGCATGTTATCTGCTCTACTAAAACGTGCAATAATATGCTGTGTTCCCGATTATAACCTGCTCGTCCACTCAATCAAGAAGTTTGCTCCGCAGTGCGCCTAATTGTATAAGAAGTGAATGATATTGCAATAATGCAGGTATATCAAGCTGCATCAAAAGTACTTTCTTAAACAACAAACATTCCTTCTAAACGTACTTGGTGTTCCGAAAGGCACGCACAACTGTAGTAGTTTGCTGATATCCACTTTAATAAAACACTTGTGCCGTTGTTTTTATTCGAACCGGCCTCACAAGCAAGCAATGCGCATGAGATTGTTCACATTGTACGTGCTTTTGAACCACACTCGAAGCAATATATATCTGTGATCATAGCGCATGATTACAGTTTGTTCGTGGAACAGAGATAGAAAGAGAGATAAATGAGCAAGCAATAATAATGATAAAAAATTGTTCGCATTAGCGCTGAGCGCTTACACTCTTCCTGCTTCGAGTGAGCTCGCGACCGCTAATGCCTTCGTTAATTGTGTTACCCAAATATAGCCGACTGCGACCGTCAGCACAGAAAAGGGTGTATCCCACAGCGAGCGTGCTCGCTTGCACGAAGTAAAAAAAAAACAACAAAAACTGTTATATATATTTTTTTCTACTGGTGCTTTGAGGTTGGTATAGGACACCAGTATGCCACAGACACTCCTCTTCATTCCTTTGCCCCATCTATAGGTGGTCGTTGTTTTTTGCCTAAACGGCTATAGATATAGAAGAAAAGGTCACTGCTGAGTCGGCTAGCTCGAAAGACAGAAATGCAGAAAGTTATACACCTGCAAATTCGGAAAGATTTACAGGTGTTGGAGCCACCGTAAGACAATCTGTTGCGTAATCTTAAGGTTGCAGGTTTGATCTCTGGCGGCAGCAGCTTGTATTTGCGTCAATTTGGATGTCAATATAATAATACTACACTACACTTCGAACAGCACAATTAACGTTCCCTTTACCTTCTTTGGCTTGATTATCTGCTGATTTTCAATTATTTTCCTTCGTTCATAGTAACGCTAGGCAGGTCTCGAAGACATAAACTTAGATATACTATGTTGTCACGCATTGATCGCTCAATGTCTATCTAAAGAAATAGACGGATCTGTCAAGCAAAGCCCTACTGCTTAGCCTTCTAATAGATGTACTGAAGCTACGGCCCATGCAGCTTCGCTTCCACCACCACAGAAAGTCGTCCTCCCGGATAAAACGATAGGCAGTTGACAGACTGCTTTTTGCAGTAAGCAGAATTTTTTATGATGCGAAAATTTGGTGTAAGGCATACTATGTTTCACAAGGCGATGGAGCTAAACGCTTTTATGACAGATTAGTGGAGGGGAAGGCAACAAAGCGGACAAGTGTTTCCGATAACGACAAAGTGTGATCCACTTACTTGAGGCACAAAACTACAAAGGAAATTCATACTGATTTTGAAGAAATAAAGCCTGTGTTGAATACGAACGCGGCACCAATGTGTTATCGTGATCGTCGCTCAATGATAGTAAACTGGGAGGCTAGCAAAAAGCGACACAAGGGCGAATCGATCGAAAACTCGAACTTTAGAACCAGGAAAAAATGTTACGTCATCTGGGAAGCTTTCGTTAACAACGCGCTCTGCAAAAGAAACATGTACGAGAAGAGAACGAGGAGGAGAGCACGGTTTGTGTCTGTGTTTTTTTTTTTTTGCGCAACGCCCTTTCTAATGATTTACGACCAACTCACCCAGCAATATGCAATATTGGGAGACTTTCCTTCTGAGACAGCTGTATATATATTTCTTTTTCTAGTTTGGTGCTCCGTTCCGGCCCTGCACGGCGATTTTTTTTTCTCCGCCGATAAGCACTCCTTCGTACAAACGTCGCATATGCATTTTGTAGAGATTCAAAGGCTGATAAAGCTTATGACTCAAGGTTGTTTTAAGAAGAATATTATAGATGTTATAGAGGATGCGGGCTTGCTGACTCGGCGCAATCTGGCACTTTTTTTCGACGGGCGAAATGTGTTCTAGCAGGATGCGAGCAGCCGCTTGCAATAAATGCAAAAGTGCATCCGCTCGTGTTATTACTGCTGGGAAAGGCACGCGCTCCTTATAATCTGTGGCAAAGCTCTTCACCCCCTCCTGATCCCAGACGGTGCTTTTTTTTTTAATGACTAGAAACTAGACACAACTCATACAACACGCAAATACCTGTACTAGCGCACAGTGCTGCGTAGCACAAACACAACGTGATACCGCATTCATACAGCTAATCGTCGCCTTATAGCCTTGCTTTCCGGTGCGGCAACGTCTCGGATGAAATTTGAGATCTTAACGCAACTTATGTGTCTCGTGAAGAATATCGAGCCGCAACTGCACACACAGCAACCGAAGGACCAAACTTGTCGTCGTAAACCTCCCGCAATAATCAATGACAGACGCCATAGTGTTTCAGTGCTTTTGCTCACGTAAACTAAAGAACCGAATACCGAAAGCTCAACATATCAAAACAAGGCGATTGCGCGGCGATTTACGTGTGCAGTATAGACCAGGTAACAATATGGACTCTACAGCATCCAAGCTTTATCAGTGATGTCAATGAACTAGAATACCGCCAAGCGAAAGAACACGATACTATTGATAAAGCGGTAATAATAATTGCTGCAGTTTTACATCCCAACACCCGGGCAAGATTATGAGTAACGCCGTAAATAGTGGAGGGTTCCGGAAATGTCGACCATTCTTGTTGCTCTTCAACGCACACCTAAGTATAAGTGTACGGGACTCCGGAGTTACGCCTCCCCTATACACTGCATATGTTTGGCCATAGAAAAGACAATTGAAGCATGACATTACACGTTAGCACATAGGTATAGCGCACACGAGATGTAAGAGCAATATTGCAGGTAAATTGGCTTCCGCATACCGTGTTTGGTTGTAGGTGTCAGAAGCATTGGCTATAGGCTTGATACGTTTACGAAACACATACATAGGCACAGGAATGATCGCAAGCATATTCGACGAGCAACCGCACCCATGCGGAAAATGGGCGTGATCGGCGCGGTCATGCATGGGCTTCGTGGTGTGTACTCACCCACACGACGAGGTTCACGATAAAGAGGCAATACTTGAGGCAGGTGAATCCGCACGAGTTTCCACCGCCGCCGCCTTTCTTTCCGACGTAAACGGGCCGCGAGCGCGAAGGCTGTTTCGAACCCGGGGCCGGTGGTCCCGGGGCTGCCGAGAGCCGGGGGTCCGGTTCGCCGCCGCCGTTGTTTCCTCGGTCGGCCATGTTGTTTCTTTCTTTGCGAACACCTACACCTCCTCGCGTATATTCTTTCGCGAGAGTTGTTCGTTGCAACGGCCGCCGCTGCCTTATCGGGAGCCGCCGCTGTACGTTTGTCTCCTTATCGCCTCAGCAGTGGGGGCGCCCCCGAGAGAACCTTTGGTCAATGCGCGCGCTAGGCGCGAGAATTCCTGCACGCATACGAACGACGCCTCGTATTCATTCTCGGCGCACCGCTCCTTTTGTTCTGCTCTGTTTTGCTGTGGTGAGGTTGAGGTCCATATTACCTCGGCTACTCCATATCGATAAGTTGCTTGATGTACGCTTTCTACGGCGGGATCCTGTTTAGAGCTCGTCCGGACGCGACACATGGACGTGTTTGCGGGAGTAGTTTTACAAATGCGCTTATTGTAAAGAGGATTGGATATGTGGGGTGTAACGTCCGAAACCACCACCTGGGGTTCCTTAACGTGCACCCAAATCTGAGTACGCTTACCTACAGCATTTTCACCTCCATCGAAAATGCAGCCGCCGCGGCCGGAATTTGATCCAGCGACCTGTGGTTCAGACACCTTAGCCACTAGACCACCGTGGTGGGGCGTGTCAAGAGGATTATGTGTCGATCTAGATAAGGGATGGTGTGTATATGTCCCAACAACGTTTGCTAAACTTTATAGTCTTTATAATATTACTGTTAATGATTGTTGGGTTTTAACGTCGCAAAAGCGCAGCATGACGCAACCGGGCGGGTATATTTTCAATTATTATCTATCAACAAGGCGTATAATCTTTGGTTTACTGACGGAACGGCACAGACGACCGAACACTGCAAAGACCGTTTAAACGAATGTCTTGCCATTCTTTCTTTTTCTTTCTCAATTAAGTGCGGCCATCTTGAACATGCATGGTATAAGGACAAATAAAAGCGCTTGGAAGAATTCATAGCCATTGAATTCATGACATCACGCGAGGTTACTATATGTATTTTGACATGACGAAATAATAGATAGTGGGGCATCCGCATGACAATGACTATTCAATGTCGCTCTTTGCCGCAGACGTTTCCATCACCTTGACCGTGCTTGAAGGTCAGATTCACCGAACCAGCTGTTTTGTGGGTTTGGACCTGGAAAAGCAGAGCTATCGCCCTAAAGATATAAAATAGAACTTCTCACGCTTATAGCACATAGTGTAACTTCAGACGTGTAACAGTGTTGAAACGGTCAGCACGTGAACGACGAAGTTCTATGCGTGAGTTCGGAAAGGATAAAATAACACAGCTATGTATACACATACACCACTATTTTCCATAGTGAAGTCCTGCAGTAGCTGGATGACTCGTCTGGGGTCGGCTTGCAGTGAAGTGGGGCGTTCCTTTCGTACGCATTTGACTACGGTATTTATTCATTATGGTTTCGAAGACCACGTTTTTCAGCATTTCAAAACCAAATGATGGAATGTTGGGGATGTCATACAGTGAACATTAACGATGATTGCTGTGGTAGCGCCTAATGTGCATAAGTAGTTATTTTTTTTTCACGTTTCACAGGATCGCCACTTTCCAGGATGTGTGTTCAGCTAATTGGCTAAATAGTCATGCAGTTAGGCCAGATACTGTGCGGGCCTTGCGTACGCAAACGGGCGCTTTGAGAGAAAATTTCTTGGTCTGTATTTAGCTGAGGGCCTCGAGTGTAATCCATCAAATATTTAGTGCGTTCAGCATATATAAGCACATGTATTTGTGGAAATATTGATGCTTTGTAGAGGCGATTTTTACTCGTGTGCATGAATGGCTTCCCATCTCCCCGTCCCCGCTTTTTGACCACGGAAAAAGCAGATTAGCAGAGCAAACAAAAGAGAAACAAATAGTATATGAAAACAAATACGAAAGTAGAAAAGGAAAGAAATAGTAAAGAAATAAAAAGAAGAAAGAGCCAAGAAATTGATAGCTTCTCTTTTAATCAGTGCTAGCGGCTGAAAGATGTTTTTAAGGTTAGTTGATGTTCTATTGCTGCATATATATTCTTTATTGTGACTTTGCGTGATCATAATGTACAGTCGAGTGCATAATTTTAGAAACCACGGGAGCGCGACTCTGTCCGGGAGCGTCTACTGCGCACGCTCGTCCAATATCACCCGGCAGCCTGCCCTTTCGCTCGTTTCAACGGCGCGCATCTCGAAACGATGCGGACGGTGCAAGGTGTCACTTCTGTAGTCGCTGTGAAGACAATGAAAAAAGCCGAGTGCTAATGTGACGACAGCACATCATTTGCGGGTTTCGGCGTGCTGCACATAGTGCACGTTACTCCTAGGCGATCCGCGGCGTGATCACATTTTGAATGCCGAGTTAGGGAATGTATAAGCTCAGCCATGCATGAAAGCACCAAACGTCCAACAGCTGCAGAAAAGAGTCGAGGAAGAAAGGTGAAAACAAACTCGGTTTATCAAGGATAAATCCTTTATTAAGGCCGCTGCGGTGGTGCAGTGGTTTCGATGTTCGGCTGCTGACGCGAAAGACGCATCTTCAAGTCTAGTCGCGCATGCCGTATATCGATAAAGGAGAGATACTTGAAACTAGTATACTGAGTGGACGTTAACGAACCCCGAATGAGCAAACATTCCCAAGACGTCATTTCGGTGGAGCTCTATGTCATATCTATATAATACAATTTATTTCTCTCTATATATCGTGGTTCTGTCACGTTGAGAGCCCGCACATATTATTAGTAGGAGTCGAGCCTCGACCCAAGAGTTTCTAGGATTCGAATTTCAGATATTCATGAGTCGTCTTCTACTACTCGAACCATAAACCCGACTGAAGTCAACCCATTAATTGGATGCATTTTAGTAGATTAAGACAAGTAAGCGTGAATTATTGCGGATTGAGAGTGCAAGAGATGTCATAGACTTTGACTTTCGAGTCTTCATTTTTGGGGGTTTTTTCCAAGAAACCAGAGAAAACGAAGGTTGAAAGGGGCGTCACCGCTTTCAGTATTTCAATAGAACTCTACCCATGACATATGCACGGAACATTCTCGAACGCGAAGTAGTCGGGAATTGAGACTGCCTCCATTAACATCCGTCGCTCGAGCATCAGCGTGTATTCTGGTATTCTGGTCACGTTGTTTTGTAAAATACTGCAGTGAATTACAGGCGATCACTTTTAGTTCTAAGTGCTCGAATGTTGGAGGCCTCACAAGAAAACAAAAGTTAATTCCTTAAGCTGTTTGACCAAGTACCTCGCACGGCGGCACACCGCTACTTTTGTACACATTACTCACTGCGTGTAAATGCGATTCTTTATTATAACTCTTTTAGAAAAATTGGGCACTCAGAAGGTTCACGTTTGCTTGCGACGCAGGCGCAGTACAATTTTGTCATTTTTGTCAATTCTTTGCCTTGTTTCATGGTCTTTCGGGCTTGGTGACGATAAGAAATTATCTCGTACAGCAAATGTTGAATGGCAGCATATCGCGGCACAGCCCAGCTATTAGACAGCTATTGGACAGTGCCATTCTCGAAAGAGTATAAGATCGGGGGTTTCAAGGCCCCCGCATTCGTCTTCAAAAGTGTCGCCACGAGTACCAGCTGATGGAAGGAGACGCATCGTAGAGTTTAGCATCCAAGGCTTTTCTCAGCGGGTCATCTGCCGGCTCCTTCAAAGGTCAAGAAATGCGATGAGTCGTGCCATCCAAGCGTACCGACAAACAGGGGGGATCAGTGACAGAGACCGTGCTGGAAGGTTAAGGTGCACAGATGACAAAGTGGACAGGCTAATTATCGCCGCCGTAGTAGCTGATCCCCATATAACAGCGAAAGGCATAAAAGATGCGTCCGTCTGGACTATCCGTAGAAGGTTGGCAGAAGCAGGGCTTGCCAACTGCGTCGCGGCCCAGAAGCCCCATATCACGGACAGGCAAAGATCCATGCGACTGCAGTTTGCACGTTCTGTGCAGACATGGGGATCAGAAGAGTGGGAAGTCGTGTTCAGCAATGAATCAACGTTTTCAAGTCGCTGGGATCAGGAACGGCGAGTACGGCGTCCAATGAACTCGAGGTAACATTTGCGATTTGTCTTCTACTATAATGTCATCCTTGTACTATTTACCATTGAATGTGTAGAAAGAGTAGTGCACAGGGTAAGTAACCGCAGCTGGTAAAAATTAATGGCAGGTCACCCACTACAGTGCGCCTTAATTACGTTGTGGTTAAGGCAAGTAAAGCCCAGCATTTTCTTTGAACTTGCTGTAGGACGTTGCTTATCTTTGATTCTCTTTAAGCTGCGTTACTTCTTATTGTGAGCAGCTCGCCAAACTTAAGCACCTTAGCCAATGTTTGTATATTGTACCTCATTACCTTAGAAAAATACAGTTGAGTTAGCGAGGCCTTCTGGAATGCACTGAGGGTGCCTTACCAACATGTAGAATATTTCGAATCATCTTGGCGATCTCGCATAATCAAAATTTTATTATATAAATCTTCAAGTAAGACGAAATTGTTCGGGGATAAAGTGACTACGTGCCAGTCGTTCTTATAAATCCGTGTAACCAATCGAGCCTTTCCTTCCTCGCCAGGTATTCACCACAGTACACGCAGTCGGTCTTTGCCAGTGGCCGATGCTCTGTGAGTGTCTGGGCCACCATGACCAGAGAAGGACTTCGGCCACTGGTTATTATCGATGGGAACCTTTCAGCCTCCACGTACTCCCTTATAATAGAAAGAGAATTGCTTCCTTATGTCTTGAATGAGCCGTTCAAAGATGGTTGTTTCGTGTACCAGCATGACAGGAGCCCGATTCACACTGCTCGCAGTGTGGAATGTTTGCTTGAGTGCCTTGCTGTGCGCACATTGGAATGGTCACCTGTAGGAGTGGACCTGAACCCCATTAAAAACGTCTGGGGTCTCGTGAAACGCCGACTTGCGGCGCGGAATCTTGGAAGTTCAACGAAGGAGACCTTATTCGCGGCCATACAGGAGAAGTGGGAAACACTTCGTTCACGCCCCGAGATCGTGGCCGCGCTTTACAATTCGATGCCATCACGTGTGGCGCAAGTGATTGCCACCGATGGGCGTTTGATTAAATACTGAAAGTAGTGATCTTTCCTGAATAGCAGTTATAGCTATCGTTTTCTTTTTTTCTGGCTTATAAGAATCAACTGTTT